TATATATATATATATATGATTGTAACTTTAATTGGTAAAAGACTGTAACAATGCTATGGTTCATGATAAGTTCCCTTACTATACTCGGTGAAAAACTGAAATCTAATCAGACATTTCATGTAATTTTACAGTAAAACAGGTTTTGGAAGTGGAAAGATACATCATCTAGCTTTTGTAGATGGCATATTAATGTTTGCTGTCATGTCTTTTACAGATTCAGATGCCCACAGCACCACATCCAGTATGTCTCCCTCTCAGTCTCCCAGCCACAGTAATCAGTCTGACGACGGGTCAGACATCGAGACCAAGCAGAGGCGCCCAAACCCATCGAGGTTCTCCTTTCTCGACCTGTCCTACTGGAAGAGGTATTCCTTTCCTTCTTTTCACGAATGCGTGTTAAGAGATGTGCTAGTTGTTGAGCTGAAAAATAACACTTCTATTCAATGTTTCAGGCAAAAGGTGTGCTGTGGGATCGTCTACAAGGGGCGTTTCGGTGAGGTGATCATCGATCCTCGTCTCTTCAAGCCCTGCTGTAACAAGAAGCGCCCAGCTCTGGCATCCTCCCCGGACTCTCAGATCTCACAAACACATCCTTCCCCTCTTCCAGAGGACATGAAGGAGGCATGGTGATCCAACTAAAACACCCTCCAAACTGTCTCGTTGAGGCCCTCATAGCTTTGTCTCCAGTGGTAGACTCTGGTATCTTCCCTTTGTTAGATTACTGTGTATGAGTTGAGTTTTCCCCTTGCTTTAGTATTTTTATGACTTTTTTTGTAACATGTAATTTGTATCTTTTTTTATATAACAGAAAAGGAGGAAAAAAAATTGGGCATTAGGACATATTTATAGCTCTGAGTTAGGAAATTGAATGTAATCCATTTTTTATTATTACTGTAATTTTTTTTTGGAGTTACCAGTGTTTTGTAAATATAATCTTATTTTCAGTGCACCAAAAGACTTCTATTTGGCATTTAGTTTGACGGGTTACAGATGAATAATGTAAAGTGCTGTATCTAACATTATAGCCAAGGCATTAATGAGATGGGTGTACTTTTAAACAAATATAATATTTTACTCAGCCTTGCAGTCTTCTGCTCTGATTCAAGTTCAACTGTGGTCTGTTATATCACACACACGCATTTTCTGACTAGGATTCTTGAGCACAGTATTCACAATGTGAATTCACCTCAGCTTTTGCTCTGTAATATGGACACGTGCTTGTAAAATCTCTTTTTCCTTCTGGTTTGGCATAAAGATGTTGCTCAATATTTAAAAACGGTTACGGGTTTGTAAATCTTTTTAAAAGCACGATGCAAAAAATTCATTATCTCAGAGTATTTAAACGGTTATCATTTACACAATGGCATATGAAAGCATGCATAATGTATTTGTAGGCATGATGAGTTTTATGACTGTTGGTGGTGTTTGCGTTTTATTTTATTGTTATTGTATGAGAGTGTTATAATACAGAAAGTAAGAGATATTACTGCTTGATGAATTTCTGACCAGGCTTTACACTGTTTTTACCACATTTTTCCATGTTTCAATATTGTACACTAAAGGTAATCGAAGATGAAATTGTACAGTCTTTCAGCCTTGATGTATTGACTGCAGCCTTTTGTATGTTTTTTTCCCTTGCTATTTGGATTAATTGAAATATGACAGAATTGCCTTTTTTAAAAAAGTTTTTTTTGTCTGTTTTGGCTCTAAAGTTCAGCAATATTATGGAGTTTGCAATTGGACTTGAAGGTTCAAGATTTCGGTTGTATTTCAGTGTATTATTTGAAAGAATGTTTGTTTTTATTCACCAGCAATACTTTGAGTCAGCATAACTGTTGACTTCAAGCTCTTGTTTTTAAAATGCATGAGAGCAAATACAAGATGTCGATAAATTTCAGGGAAAAATGTTTTTAACTATTAATGTGGCACATTCTCAGTCAATGTGCCTCACCAGAGATTTAGCTGATCATTTCATTACGTTAATTTGTCATTTTTAACTTATGCTATTTATTCAAAGCTGTCTGTACAATTAATGCTGTAAAGAAGTTTTTGTGCACTTTGTATACTTTTTTGTAATATTACCATTGATAAAATTTTGTATCTCAATTTTCCTCACATTGGTATTTTCATAAAATGTTTAAAGTAAATGTTTGTCTTGTTTGTGGTTTTGGTATAGCGAGAAAAAAAGAAAAAATATGTTATTTTTCTAACAAGGACGTTTCCTGTTATGAATTGTGCTTTCTGAACACTAGATGGTGCCAAACGTGCATCTCTGAATGCACATTGATTCGTGTGTGTGTATATAGAGCGCTCATTAAAATTATACTTTAATTGGAAGATTAATTGAAATATGACAGAATTGCCTTTTTTAAAAAAGTTTTTTTTGTCTGTTTTGGCTCTAAAGTTCAGCAATATTATGGAGTTTGCAATTGGACTTGAAGGTTCAAGATTTCGGTTGTATTTCAGTGTATTATTTGAAAGAATGTTTGTTTTTATTCACCAGCAATACTTTGAGTCAGCATAACTGTTGACTTCAAGCTCTTGTTTTTAAAATGCATGAGAGCAAATACAAGATGTCGATAAATTTCAGGGAAAAATGTTTTTAACTATTAATGTGGCACATTCTCAGTCAATGTGCCTCACCAGAGATTTAGCTGATCATTTCATTACGTTAATTTGTCATTTTTAACTTATGCTATTTATTCAAAGCTGTCTGTACAATTAATGCTGTAAAGAAGTTTTTGTGCACTTTGTATACTTTTTTGTAATATTACCATTGATAAAATTTTGTATCTCAATTTTCCTCACATTGGTATTTTCATAAAATGTTTAAAGTAAATGTTTGTCTTGTTTGTGGTTTTGGTATAGCGAGAAAAAAAGAAAAAATATGTTATTTTTCTAACAAGGACGTTTCCTGTTATGAATTGTGCTTTCTGAACACTAGGTGGTGCAAACGTGCATCTCTGAATGCACATTGATTCGTGTGTGTGTGTATATAGAGCGCTCATTAAAATTATACTTTAATTGGACATACAGCAAACACCCCCAAATATGACAACCTTTCAAAAATATAAAGCAATATTTTTGTATTGTAGAAAGCTCCATTTACTGTATATTTGTGATAAAAAAGCATAAAATAAATTGTTTCCTAAACAAATTTATTTACTTTTATCATTGCACTAAATATTATTTAGAACATATTTACAGTTTTTTTTTTCACCCAATGTTAGGACAACTTTGGATTTATTTTATAGCATTTTTCTTAACATGCGTTACACGGAGCAGTGTCTTAACTGCCAGTAGGAAGTTGATAGAGGCAATGAAAAGATGTAAAACACAACAAACTATTCTGGAATATAATTACAAAGGACAGATCAACACATTTAGAAATAAATATTCCCACCCCCCATTATACTGTATGCAGATTCCCTTTAGCGCCCCCTTGCAGACCCCAGTTTGAAAATCACAAAGCTCCAAATGAGTAAAATAATAATTAAAAAAAGGACTAGAGCGAAGATTTGGTGTAGAATGGAGGGTCCACCTTTAAACTCCACTGTGTGTTGTGACTGAACAGCTGCTGGTTATCTTGTCACAATTTCGTCATTACTGTTGAAGCTGGCCTGAATGGTGGCTTTTGATGAGCTGTGTTCTTCTTTCCGTGCTTGACACGTGAGAGTCAAAAACCACAAGAAAATAAAGAGACCTACGATGAAATAGACAGTATTAATGTCAGATAATATATTTTTTAAATCAGGAGCTTTTGCTTCACATCGCAAATTTAGGGCCACAAACCTGACTCAAATCAAATAAATAAACAACTGGCACTTAAATATGCATTAAAATCTATAAAAACATCAACATTTTTCTTTTTGAACAAATGGTCAGTCACGTGCTTAATTATCAAAAAATGTTTTTTGCACAACTCACAAGGTCAAACTAATAATACATGAACTGTTTTATTACGTTACATGTGCACCCTGATATGCTTATAACTTTATAGCATTAAAAATTAAACATGAAAAATCTAATAAAATTAATAAAAAAAACTGGATTGCAGATTGAGACGAAATTAAACTGTCACTTAGTATCATAAATTCAAGAAAGATATTTGTAAAATATCAGTTTTCTTACAATAACATTGCAAAGGTTGAATGGTTGAGCTTGGCAGACACAGTTAGTCTTACAATTTGTGCAAAAATTGAGGAAATTAAATGAGCTCTTCCTGTCATGCTGTAGAAAAGATCCAAACCATTATTTCTCTGGTGTCACAATGTTATGAACTTTAAAATTGTGACCCAAGAAATAACAAAACTTTTACATATGGCTGTAAAGAAACAACTTGCAGTAGCCTAATCTGCATCCAAGCGGTCAAGACTGGTTAAACCAGTTAGCCCTATACTGAGAGACTCTGTAACTACACCATTTACTACAGCACAGGGCTTTAATAGCATAGACACAGCAAAATATGACATTTTAATCATTAAAATTTATCATAATAATAATTAAAAATGCTAATTTAAGCATGTTTTACATCATTTTGTGAAGTCATCCTCGCGCTCATTGGCTGCCGTCTCTGTAGATATGCTAATAATCTAATTTAATGTAGTTTAGTGCTTCAAAAAGCGAAAATAACACACTTATGATCGTGCTTTACCAGCAGAAAAAAAAACGGGAGAATCAACTGTACTGCAGAAGAAGCAACAAAGACCGACAAAAACAATAAAAGGAGCGTAACACACACCCACTGCTCCGGGTGTGTGTTCACGGTGTGTGTGTGTTCACTGCTGTGTGTGTGCACTTTGGATGGGATAAATGCAGAGCACTAATTCCTAGTATGGGTCACCATACTTGGCCACATGTCACGTCACTTTAAACATCGGTGAGGCAAACACAAGGTAGGTAGTGAAAATAATAAATAGTGATGCTTAGGGGGTTAGGGGGTTAATTTTAGTGTAGACCACTCTTTAAAACTCACTAGTGTCAGTGTAATTCCTATAAAACTGAGAAATGATTGTACTGGACGTCTATAAATGGCAGAAACACTGTGAATCTTTTGTTTCGAGTCAGTGGCGCTTTTTGAAATTCATCTGGTTTAAACGGATCTCGAGTCTGATTAATTACTTGTAGAATACATTTTCAATAGGCCTATTACATTTTGTATTTTTTTCAGTGCATTTCAATTGACATTTTCATGAACACATTTGCAATTGTTCTGTAAAGTGTGTCATTATGACTATTTGGTCTGAGTTTTAATTGCATTTGCAACGCTTTGACCGGCAGGTGGCGCCGGCATGTGGTGTTTTGAGCAGTTTTACTAACTTAGCAAGTTTGTTGCTAGATTTAGCAACTTTTCAGACTACCCTAGCAACTTTTCCCCCTAAAAAGCACCTAGCAACAAATGACTCAAACCATAAAAAAACAAGAAAAAGCCATAAAAAAGCACACATTTTCCCTCTAAATTAGGCCTACACAAAAAGAGGCAACCATTGAACAGCTACACTTTCAAATGATTTAAGCGCTTTTTATGAATATGTGTATTTTGTAAAAGGTTTGCAACTACTTTTTATCACTTAATGATAAGGGGCTGCTAACAAAAATGTAGAAGTTTATTTTAAAGTTTTGCTATTTAATGTGTAAATAAAGCTCTGTAACCGTCTCTCTCTCTCTCTCTCTCTCTCTCTCTCTCTCTCTCTGTGTGAGTGATGTGTGTGTGCGTTTGTGTGTGTCAATTAAAGCAGTGGCACATTAATATAGAACGGAGATTAAACTGACTTGGAACTACCTGTGCATTAACCTGTTAACCCGCACCTGGACGCCGGCCCACTGAACGCTCTTTGTTTTCACGTGTCAATGTTTACGACTAGATTAAATGAAAAGGGACATAATTAATCTTGACAAACTATACAATGATCGTGCTTTACCAGCAGAAAAAAAAACGGGAGAATCAACTGTACTGCAGAAGAAGCAACAAAGACCGACAAAAACAATAAAAGGAGCGTAACACACACCCACTGCTCCGGGTGTGTGTTCACGGTGTGTGTGTGTTCACTGCTGTGTGTGTGCACTTTGGATGGGATAAATGCAGAGCACTAATTCCTAGTATGGGTCACCATACTTGGCCACATGTCACGTCACTTTAAACATCGGTGAGGCAAACACAAGGTAGGTAGTGAAAATAATAAATAGTGATGCTTAGGGGGTTAGGGGGTTAATTTTAGTGTAGACCACTCTTTAAAACTCACTAGTATCAGTGTAATTCCTATAAAACTGAGAAATGATTGTACTGACGTCTATAAATGGCAGAAACACTGTGAATCTTTTGTTTCGAGTCAGTGGCGCTTTTTGAAATTCATCTGGTTTAAACGGATCTCGAGTCTGATTAATTACTTGTAGAATACATTTTCAATAGGCCTATTACATTTTGTATTTTTTTCAGTGCATTTCAATTGACATTTTCATGAACACATTTGCAATTGTTCTGTAAAGTGTGTCATTATGACTATTTGGTCTGAGTTTTAATTGCATTTGCAACGCTTTGACCGGCAGGTGGCGCCGGCATGTGGTGTTTTGAGCAGTTTTACTAACTTAGCAAGTTTGTTGCTAGATTTAGCAACTTTTCAGACTACCCTAGCAACTTTTCCCCCTAAAAAGCACCTAGCAACAAATGACTCAAACCATAAAAAAACAAGAAAAAGCCATAAAAAAGCACACATTTTCCCTCTAAATTAGGCCTACACAAAAAGAGGCAACCATTGAACAGCTACACTTTCAAATGATTTAAGCGCTTTTTATGAATATGTGTATTTTGTAAAAGGTTTGCAACTACTTTTTATCACTTAATGATAAGGGGCTGCTAACAAAAATGTAGAAGTTTATTTTAAAGTTTTGCTATTTAATGTGTAAATAAAGCTCTGTAACCGACTCTCTCTCTCTCTCTCTCTCTCTCTCTCTCTCTCTCTCTCTCTCTCTCTCTCTCTCTGTGTGTGTGTGTGCATGCGCTTAATATAGAACGGAGATTAAACTGACTTGGAACTGCCTGTGCATTAAACGGTTTTACTGCATACCTGCCAGCCAATCAGAATCCAGTGTTCAGACAGACCATGGAATAATACGTTTTGTCTCACATATCTAATAGTTTTCACACCAAAGTATGTTTTTTTCTTGCTTTCAAAAAGTGATGGGACAGCAGTATTAATGAAAGTGACAGTTACGTATGATTGTACCTAATTAACACCTGCTTCTGTTTCAAATAACACTGTAACAATTTCTTACCCTGTAAACTGTTGAGAATGGTGAAAACATAGAGCGCAGGGAGACTCAAGGGGCCATAGGTGGAGAAAGCCAGGACCCAGGGCACTCCCAGAACACAGCAGAGCCCGAGTAGAGACACCCATTCTTTCCATGCCCTCCTCCGATGGTCTTTAATCTTAAGAGTTTGTGATCTCAATTTGTGCATTTTAACCACCACCACCCCCAGCATAACCATGTTAAAGAGCATCACCATCCCGAGATAACCGTTGACAGTAATGTAGCTCACTGTCCGTGTGGTTATCCAGCATCTAAAGGAGAGGAAGCCAATGAAAACACTCCTGTTATAGGCCTGAGAGATGATGGAGAAGTAAAATTGCAGTGCAATTTGAATCGATTGACCTTACAGAGGTGTGATTGTTGAGTTTTCTTCACCCGTGTAAAAGGTATATTTGCCATACACTTTAGTCACATGGCATATTATCACGGTAATGGTAGGTACACCTATAGGAAAAGATTAATACAATAAAACAAGCTTATAATACATGTTTAATTCAAATGTAATTGTTATTTAAAGGTCAGTTCACCCCAAAAAATGTCATTATTTACTTGCCCCTGTGTTCCTCCATTGAACACAAATAAAGTTGTTGATCAGAATGTTCTGTTCTGCCTGGTCCCGCTATTCAGGATTGAGTTGAGTTTGCCTTTTACAGTCCACTTTGATTTCAATATTTGAATTCAGTTTGAATTGAGGTAGCAAACAGGATGCTAATCAGGGTATCTTCAGATTATTTATTTATTTATTTATTTTTATTTAATAATGAAAACTAAGAAAACGCCATATTTTTTCATTTTTCAAAAACAAACAAACAAAAAAGTTTGGCTTGATATTTCGTTTTTACATTCAGGGATAAAAAAAATAATAAACTGCTTGAATATTTGATCTTTGCATGTGGCCGGGAATTAAATGCCCCTTCCCAATGATTGGTCAACCAAACATTAAACCATGTTCCCCAGTTCGGTGATTAATAATATTAATAAATATTTCTGAATTAATATTTATTAATATTTATGAGATAAACTAATATTTCTCAGGTAGGTTGCTGAATTTATGCCTACACAGTTTGTGTCAAGCCATTCGTTAGCCTGGTAAAGAGAAAGAGATTAAATATAGTTGAAATAAACGCATTAAGAATCCATACAACTGTAGCAGTGGAGGACTATTATTCTGTTGCATGGAACTGGGGAACAATAAATGATTGCATTGGGAAGGTGTGTTTAATTCCTGCCCACATGCAGAGATCGAATATTCAAGCTGTGTGTTCGTTTTCTATCCCTAAACGTAAAAAAGAAGCCGAATTCTTTTTTTTTTTTAAATACAAAAGGCGACACTATCTTATTTTTCTGCTTTCAATATTAAATAAAAAAAATGAATGAAATGCTAATTTGAAATTAGAATTTTAACCTTTAATTTTAGCTCAGCTCTTTTCAAAACAATAAGTTTGGATTTCTGAACGGTTAGTTGTTCACACCAAATTTTAATTTCTTAGTAATTTAAGCAGATTACACAGATTGCTGATCACAACAGCATGTCATGGGGGTTAATGACTATTTTGAGTGAGCTAACCATACAAATTCTAGTGAAGGTTTGCCGTTTTTGGAAAGAGAGTCCAGGATGAAATCTGTTTTATTTTTTTCTGAATTCGATTTTAAGACATGGTTTAGTGTCATGAAACCCCAGACTACTTTTTCTGAGATTGTAGCAGAGGTGTTTGTGTTGCACATCAAAGACAATGTTAGCATCCATTAATTTAAATTGTTGGAGAAAACTGGTTAATTAGCTTTTTTTGCGCTATTTTCGTCTTCCGGGTTTAAAATCTACATCGTGTCGACGTCACAATTTGTGACGTGGCAAAGGACTATAGTACATCGATGACGCGTCGGTGTCTCATAATTATTCATGAGTCTGCATGTCCTTATCCTATGAGAAGATGCTTTGCTTAATTATTCACAACAGCATGTTGCCAGATTGGGCGGTTTTGAATTTGCTGGACCTTTTTCACATTTCCGGGTTTCTCAGCAGGGGAAGTCGTCATAGTTGGGTTAACTTGAAGAGCAGTGAAAGGGAGAGTACCACAAATATATTTTTTGCATTCCCATTTGCTCAAATAGCAAAAGAAAAACTCCATGATAAGTGTTTTCATGACTTTCAATGAAAGGAAAAAAATTGAGAGAAACTGATGAAGGCAGTCAGAAGAGAGAACGATGTCAAACCGTCCCTCCCATAGACTCTGCATTAGAAACACCCTCGCATTAGCGTTAACTGTTTTTTTGTAATTTGATGCAAAGGTGATATAATACAAAGAATAATGTTATAAATGTACATACATTTAAAAAAAAAATTGGCTTGGGCGGGTGGACAAAATTTGGGCTGGTTTGGGGTCAGTTTGGCGGTTTTCAAACATATAAATTGTATAGGCTACTTGGTTAACAAACAAGCCCAAGTGTGCATGTACTGCATCCAATCAGTCATCATTAATAAACACACACACACTGCAGAGGCGCTGATGCTGATGTTAACGTCGACAGCCGCACTTATAGCCAATCAGCAGAGCAGACAGACACGATGATTCATGAGTGGCAGGTTTTTAGCGTTATAACGGATCTGATTTTGAATGTATGACTGCGTATTCAAGTAATCACACAATGCCTGAATATAAGTTAAAGAGTGGGAGAGTGACTCTCAAAACGTGAATTACTGTGGAGTGAGATGACAAGAAGGCACTGCAACTCAGACAACAAGCGCATTATTGTTGTTGTTAATTTTTTTAAATTGTCGGATTACCGTACAGTATGTAAACTATCAATGAATGACAGTTTTGACTGTCATGGTGTGTGCATGAACGAGTGTGAAATAGCATGCTAATTACGTTGCTTTTTCCTATCACTTATATTGGGCAATTTTTGCATTTAAATTGGCTTATTCTGACTGTTGTCATTGAAAATGTTGCATGTGTTGTTTCGAGGGTATCGGTTAATTTCTTGATTGCCGTTTTGAAATGGTCTGCCTGCATATTTTATTCATGTTTGGTAATTCTCTTTAATGTAGGCTATTTGCCCCAATTTGATCCGTTTAAATTTGTCTAACGTTATAGGCCTATTTATATTATTTAGTTGTCATTATTTTGTTTTAAGGAGTTAAAAATGGCCCTTATCACCCTTGATTTTCAACCGTGATATTCTATCACATTATTTTGTCAGTTAAAGTTTTGGGTGTTTTTTTGTTGGAGTGGGCAGGTTTTTGTGAGCTTCTGGGCTGGAAATCGTCCATCCAATCTGGCAACACTTATCAGAATGTGAGATTGCGTACATTAACTGAGAGAAACATTCATGGATCGAAGGAGAGTGTTTGTTTTTGCTTTGTAAGAGTTCACAGACACTAGTCTTAATATCATAATTTGATGAAATGTACAGCCCGACTTTTGATTTATTCATCCAAATTTTGGCAAATTTTATGACATTCTGTGTTATACAGTAAATTACATTTTTTTTATGACTGGAATTTCACAATTCCACACTCTAAAAAATGCTGGGTTAAATACAACCCAGTGCTGGGTAAAATAGGGACAAACCCAGCAATTGGGCTGTTTTGACCCAGCAGTTGGGTTAAATGTTTAACCCAACCTTCTGGGTAGTAACCCAACCGCTGGGTCAAAACAACCCAATTGCTGGGTTTGTCCCTATTTTACCCAGCACTGGGTTGTATTTAACCCAGCATTGTTTAGAGTGCAGCTGCATTTTCACAATATAGGGCCCTAGATGAGTAATGTAGAAATAGTATAGCTACTGTTGATACAAAAAATGTGAATTTGAACTCACCCCATCCCACAAGACTTAGTTTAAGCAAGTATTTCTTGATGTAGATATTGAAGACCCGCACCAGCAGCAGATACAGGTGGAAGCCCTCGATGGCTGTCCAAGTGAAGGTGGCTAAAAGGCTCCAGTGTAGGAGAAGTCCTAGAGCTTGACACACTGAATCAATGTCTCTGTGGCCTGAAAACCACATGCTGCACAAGAACGAGATGTGCAACAAGAAAAGGGAGCCTGAGAGCTGCACATGAATTTTGACTGAATGTTCACATTGCTTTTTCCTGTGCGGAGAATGGTGAGAGATATGATCTGTTTATACCTGATTCTGAACATCTCATTCTGAAAATGTATGAGAAATCTGATTTAAAAGCTTACCTCTGGCACAAAAAAATTGCAATCATTAGCGCTGTAAATACTATTGAAAGGGCAGAGCCAATGTATGAAATGTAGTTGAGAGGGACAATATGGGACGCTTCAGGAATTTCAGGATTCTTTCAGAAACATTGAGGACAAAAGAGGATATTCAAATAAGTACTGCTAAACAGCCCAGTTTAATTTAAAGGGGTCATGAAACGAGAAATAAAATTTTGCTTCAACTTTTTACATAAGAGGTAATTGTACTATAAAACATCCTCTGAGGTTCAGAGCTCAACACTTCCTTAATTGTTAGTCCTAAAACAGCTTTTATTGAGAACAAGCTCACATTATTATATGTTTTTTAAAGTTTGTAGGTGTCCAGGTACAGAAACCCGAATTAATCAAATGTAAAATATCAATGCTTAGTCTTCACTGTACAAATTAAATATAGATTAATTCAGTAAAGAGCAGTGAGTGATTTTCTCACATTTAATTCTTGGATTAACATTAAGGACACCGACAGCATTTAGTAAATTAGGTGCAGTCACTTTAAGAGACAATGCATCCTATATAACTATAAACATCCGAATTCTTTCTCAACTGTTTACGTTCACTTAAGACATAACCGACACTTTTGCAGGAGGACACGAAGGAGAGCTCGGTTCGTGTGTTTGCGCGCTGTCTGACGTGACGCTTTAGTTTGGTGCACGAGTACTCAGTTGTTTTTCGTTTTGTGCTTCTATGCTGTAAACTCTTTTGAATATTTAAATTGGCAAGGCTTAAAAACACATGCAATTGACAAGCTTTTGTGACGACGTGAAGCAGTGGCCCATCAACTGTCCTGAGCGACTTTTTAGGCTGGCCTCGGCTAGTCAGTTTAAATCGTCGGGGGGCCCCCCCTCAGCCATGGGCCCCTATAATCGTCACCACCTTTCACCCCACTAGCGATGGCCCTGTATGTAAGATATGGACCTGACAATAATACCACAACATTTAAGTACATGTTCGTTCTAATACCTAATCTGCAATCAGTGATTTCTCATATGTAATGATTCGTGTTCAGTCAGATGTTCTTTTTCTCAATATCATTTACTGCTGTTTATGCATCAGTAAATCAAGCCAGTGACTAACTACACGTCATTTCTTTTATAAGCATGTAAATAATCTGTTATTTAAATTGTGATTAAATTACATACAGTAAACAATCAATGAATGCTCCGTTTATAATCGCTGGAGCTGTCAATCACGCAGAACGAGTTCATATTCAGTGACAGTCTACACTACACAATTAATATTATTTACATCATGTTTGCAATGTTAGTTATGATGAAAGCATTTGTGCAAAACTCGAGTTGCAATGATGAGATCACTGCATGCACACGCTCAGCAGTCTGTCATTGGCTACAGTGTTCACCACTGCAACCTTTCATGCGACGGAATAGGAGTAGATTTAAATATAATGCTACAATCAACACAATCCATGATTAGTCTCACAGCGAACATGCCCCTTCCAACAGACCGTTCAAATCAGAGGGCTAAAATCAGGGTAGAAAATGCCCTTTAAAAATAGTTTGTAAAAATCACACTAACATTATAAGTGCACCTCTGGTAACATTATCAGATAACTAAAAAAATACAGTTCATGACCCCTTAAAAGTGAACACTTTAAAACAAAACAAAGGTGACTGAAGAGCATCACATGATAAATGCACTTACAATGAGCACTGCAAAAAAGCTCAGATGATTACAACTGCATACAAAGTCTCCGTTGACGATGGTAGTATTACAGCCGTCTGTCCTCCAGTTACCTGACAAACAGACACAAATACGTACACTAAAACAAAAAGTCGATCCAGAAACATCTATTCAAATGAGAACTGTAATATATCACATTCGTTTTCACACTCATTATATGACAGTTACAAAATATATAGGTCGTTCTCAGGAAACAGTGGCGTTGCAGTGACATTGCAGATTTTTATCATCTTGCATTCACAACATCTCTTCTCTCAACTTCAGGCCAACACAAGTTAAACCCCTCCAGTTTGCCATTCCAGCAGATCTCTCCTGTCACTCGTTCTCATTGACAACAACATAACTCTTATGACTAGCTTTCACTCCATAGATAAGCAGGCTTGGGTAACTTGCACATTGCTAAAAGCACTTGAACTATTTAGTGGCTGAAAATGAGCCTTTCCTTCTTTTCCAATCAAAACCCTCAAAAGTTGTGTTTAATCAAATGTAACAGGGTTGACACCAAACAAGTAATAGCTTGGTTTTAACTTATTATACTTTAGTAATTGTTAGTATTATAATGTCTGATTTAATATACTGTAAGGTGACTGTGACAGGATTAAAATAATAGAGCAGTTAGGCTTATAGGCTTAAAGCTAGTAACCATAAATTACTACTTGTACTTTGTAATGTTGTGACCACATTTTGTAGATTAGCGTAATGTTTTAAAGGGGTCATGAAATGGAAAATCAAAGTGTTCTTTATATTTACACATATGAGAATTGTAACACGATAATCTTCCTCGGCACGGCCTTTAACATGCATTCTGAGCAACTCATGTCTGTCCATCAATCACAAGAGTGATACTGATGCTGAATAAAGATGTTACTAAGACCATCAAACTCATCAAAGACTCTATTTTGTCAGTGGATGTAAAGAAACTGCACCTCCAAAAACGTTCCAAGCATTTGAAATACATGGCTGAAGTTTATAATGACATGCCTGAGCGACTGAAAGTTCTCCACATGCTGCCGTTTTTTCAGAATATCTTTTATTAAAAGATATGGCAGTGGCAAGCATTTTGTCCTCGGAGGCAATGCACATTAGTTTTGTAATCTGACAGCGTGTTTGTAATAAATGCAGAACCAGCATTGAACGCTATTAAAACACCAAGCGCATCACTACTAATAAAATTAGTACACCTGTGTACATGCAGTGTCTTTTGTAATACAACAAGTAAGAATAGTACTTTTAAAACTATATACCGAAAAATTAAGCATGCAGAAGCAATTTCCACACTGAAACAGATTGTTGTAATCAACGTTTTTTCATCCGAAAATGATCATTTTTATAAATATTAGACCAGTTTTTGATGGAAAAAAACGTAAACTAACCTTGAGAAACATTTTATAAAAATCTGAAACTGCATTTCATGACCCCTTTAAGAACTGTGATGACTATGTCTATATGGAGAGTCTGAATCCATCCTGGTACTTTGGGCCTGACATGCGAAAAATGATTTCTTAAAAAATTTCTTTGAGTATAACAGTAACAATTTCAAGTGAAAAATCAACACACACACACACACACACGCATGCACACACGCACGCACGCACACACACACACACACACACACACACACAAATGCCACCATCTGAGAATGACCTAGATTATAGAGAACTGAACATTTGTTTTAGTTTATTTATAGAGGTTTATTTTTGATGGTGTGAAAATCATACTGACCTTTGCCATTTTTTTCAAGATGCCAGTAGACACAGGTTCCATGTTCACTCTGCAATAATAAAAGCACACGTTTACAGAAGTGAACATTTGCAAGTGGTCAGCAAAATCCACAAGGGCCACGGTATGTTTTTACAATCGCATTATAGTGTGATGTGAAATCATCTCACCTGATTGGTGTTTATGAATCTGAGCTGAACAGGCTGAGAAAGGTTCTGAACTTCATTCTTACCAAGCCAAACTCCCAACACAGTTTGCCCATGCAATATCGTGCCTGGCGTACTTGGGTTATTCCCCTTCTGTGTCAACACCACAATGACAAATGATTCAAAGTAGAAACCACTGGGCTATGCAATGCAGATGTTGCCCAAAGTATTTAAAATCACATTTAATTAGACACAAACAAGTCTAATACAGTAATTCTGCATACCTTGTTTAAACTGCTGCTGACCTTGAAGAAAGTCTCATTGAGAAGAGACACAATCAAATCTGCATTCCCCCATCTATTACAGCTCATCTTTAATGCTTCGTCTGAGATGTGGATTACATATCCTCTATCTGTATCGACTGTTTCCTGAAAAAAAAAAGTGAAGACACAATTCAGCGTGTGACCTAACTGATCTTCCTGTACTGCTGACTATGTTGCTGACACTTGAACTTTGTTTCTTGCTTTATGGCTTTTTCTTTTTTTTTTTAAGTTAGTCAATCAGACAGTTAACTACTGTCTTAAACCTAATATTCCTTTTACATTTACATTTATTCATTTGGCAGACGCTTTTATCCAAAGCGACTTACAATTGAGGAATACAACAAGCGATTTACCATAAAATGGCAATAATTTAATAGAATATATAGAATAACTTTTATAGAATAATGTTTTCCAGTATGTATAGATCATAATACTATTCAAACACTGACTTTGTCTGTATATGGGTTCAGTAAATATCTACAATTTTTTTCTTCTGTCATTTAGTCTTACCTCTGAGGAAATTAATGTAGAGAAATATTTTTGGTCTTTTATCCTAGGGGCTGTAGATGAGCAATTTCTCATTCCATCTTCAATACACCTGTTAAAAAATACATTCGATTCATTTTATACCTCTAAAATATTACCTGACAGCAAACCAACCTGTCCATTTTATACATTTATTACATATAATAATATAAATATAAAAACTTTATACTTCCTAGCCAACGTTCTCAGAACTTTGGCTAATATTCTGGCAAGGTTCTCTCAAAGCCTCTCCCAATAATGTTAATAGAACATTCTTTTCAAAGTTATTTGGTCTTTAATATTCTTCTCAAAATGTTATTTATAAATTTCTAATGCGTCAGAAGTATTAGCATTCAAAAGTAACTTTCCCATAATGTTTGCAAAATGATAAATGGAACATTCCCTTAATGTTCACCAAGCCAGTTGGCAGTTTGCAAAATGCTCTTAGAACTTATTTTGTTAGCTGGGTTGTTACAAGATCAACAAGATAACAAAACTCACAATGGAACATTCCTTGTCTTCTGACATTTTACTGGAACCTCATGACAACGCTCACCTGCGAACATGTCATATCATGGGAGGTAAATAGCAGTGCAATCAATTATTCAATCCAAATCTTTATCACTACAGATTTATAAAAAAAACATTAATTTCAATTTTACTATGCCACAAGAGTAAACATGACTAGAATCAACAGTCACTCTTTTCGAGTTAAAATGACATGATTATAGTAATTTTTCAGAGCTGAAATGTAAAAATGTACAGCATATTCATACTCACGTTCTTTAGTCACTATTGTGGAAGAAAAAATTGGAAATATCCAAAGAACAACACAGCAAAAGCCTCTCATTTTTCTCTTTGAATGCTCTGTTTCTCTAGTGTGTGTACCCTCTGTCAAGCACTCTGCAAAGCAGGTCTCATGTGATTGCTGTGGTTTCCTGTGTAGCCTAGTTTTTAACATCACTTCATAAATAACCGTGACATGGGGGACAGAACTGGATGCGTACTTACCAACACGAAACATATGTGACGTAACGGTGAAAAGAACCCAGACATTTCTAAATGAATAACTAATCACATTTAAAAAATGTACATATATAAATGGCATTATTGTAATGCCTTTTCAATAGGCTCAAACATACATTTCAGGTTTATAGATTTATTATTAAATTCAAAAACACTAATAATAGAACAACTGTGCATTTACCATATTTATTTACAAATCACAGCTTTTAATGTTTTTGTTAGATGTGATAAGCAGGTTTGAGATTAGATTTGTTAGATCATAGATAAGGTTTTAGTTTGTCTACAACTACAAAGAGGAAACTGTATTTTTTTTTCTTCAATGCACTGTTACCAAAGGAAGTACTCTTGCAAAAAAAAAAAAATGTAACCGAACAGCTCATGATGAAATGTGCCATTTGTTGTTTGCCTGTTGTTTAAGTGTCATTTTCATTAACCCAGGTGCATTTCTGTGGGTCAGCTGGAAGATGTCTTCTTGTAAAATCATGTCAGAGGTTTTAGTAAGAGAAATGAATGAGAGGACTTTATTTGGAGGTGTCCAGAGTGGATTTAGACTTGGAATGAGGTGTTTGCGCTCTGTTTTTCCTCGCTGTAGCACACATCCACACAAAGATGTAAAACCCTGTAAACAAACAAACATGATGCTTCAGTCCATCATTTTTTCAAAAAATGTTTTCAAAAAGTTTCCATTCCCCTTTTCTTTAGTCTTTACGTCACTGTATTCTTCTACTTCTACTTAACAGGGAAACAAAGAAGCCAACCTGTTGTATTTCACATCCTCCTAGACTAGTGCTGTGACTTCATAATAACCCTTGTTTTGACCCTAACTGTCTTTTGGTAGCAGAAAAAATGCTAGAGTTTCACATAATGGCGTATCATTGTGATGTGACTAATATTTCCTCCTCATTTTTTCCCTGCTCTTGTTCACCTGACCAGAACAAACCACCATGTGAAATCCCTTTATCTTCCAGAGTCAATGACATGACGATCATGACTTGAACACACCTCTTTTATGACAAGTATTACAATTAATTTGGTATTTGGGGGGGAGGGGGGGGGGGGGATACGATAATAATGATGAAAAAGCCTCATTAAAAGAATGAAACTCTGGAAAGAATAACATTAACTGATTTTTAGCAAAACGTCTTATTAATATTTGAAAAGTCATGTGATTTGACAAACAAGATCATGTGGTACAACCAACATGTGGAAAAAATAAAACTGGATATTACTTTTCAATTATAGACTCTTCAAAGACTTATCATAGTCATGAATTTATAATTAATGAAATTTGTAAAAATAAAAAGCATTTTACATTGAAAAATGTTACATTCACGTCTATTTAAGATGTGACGCAAATAGGTTATTACATTGTACCTAAGGAGGGGGGGGGGGGTGATACGATAATAATGATGAAAAAGCCTCATTAAAAGAATGAAACTCTGGAAAGAATAACATTAACTGATTTTTAGCAAAACGTCTTATTAATATTTGAAAAGTCATGTGATTTGACAAACAAGATCATGTGGTACAACCAACATGTGGAAAAAATAAAACTGGATATTACTTTTCAATTATAGACTCTTCAAAGACTTATCATAGTCATGAATTTATAATTAATGAAATTTGTAAAAATAAAAAGCATTTTACATTGAAAAATGTTACATTCACGTCTATTTAAGATGTGACGCAAATAGGTTATTACATTGTACCTAATGGTTACACCACATGACATTTCAGCGTCATTCATTTTAAACTTGGATTGAAAAACCATTTGAAACCAATATGAATATTAAGAGTACTGTGCATTTCTAAACTTGCATGGGTTTTATCACGAACACTCTAGTATGTCATTAACCCACATTTTCTCTCTTGTACCCCGAGTAAACCTACCTTGCATTGTGTTTAAGATGCAGAATAGGTAGAGTATCGGGTAGTTGATATATCCATAGCTGAAGAAGGCCAAGCCCCATGTTGTACCCACCAGACACATGAGGCCCAAAACTGTGCCAGCATCCTTCCAAACTTGCATCTTGTCATGCCTGTTGCCCACATGTCGTAGCCTAAGGATCTGTCTGGACACTGTGATTAGGATTGCTAAATTGAACAGGAATACGATGGAGAAGTAGAAAATGTTCACGCCATACAGGACGTGAGGGTCTCTGATCCAGCAACTGTATTGTATGAAAAAAGGTTGAGCAGCCTGTACTTCATACATACATTTGACAGGCAAAGTGTGCTACATAATTTAACTACATTTGTCTGTATGTAGTGCAAAGTTATAATGTAAAGACTTACATTTGATTTGTTGTATTCGTATCAGAAAATTTCATCTCAGTTATACCATACATGTTATTAACTGACAGCAAGCCACCAACAATAACTGCAGGGACTCCTGTCAAGAGGACAAGATCACAGGATGAAACAACACATTTCAAAGCTCAATTTTGATCACATTTGATTTTTTAAACATTATCCTTTCATCATATATGTTGTTCCAAACCTGTATGACATGTAAAGATATTTTGAAGAATGTTTTAACTGTTTTGTCCATTCAGTGGGCAACACTGGACCCTTACTGATCCTCATTGTAAAAAAAAAAAGCACGCACATACATATGACACATACTTTGAAACAATGTGAATTGTGAAAAACGCTATACAAATAAATTTGCCTTGACTTCACTTGACCAGTGGTTTAGAGAATGAATGGATGGATGACATTTTTCTAAATATCTTATCTTGTGTTATGCAAAGTAAAGAAAGGTTTGCAAAAACATGAATGTGAATAAATGATGACAAAACGTTTTTGTCACTTTTGAGTTGAAATAAGTTTCGGGAATTACAGCAAAAAGTGAAAGCTAGCTGAACAAGAGCAATCAACACAACTCCAGCCCTTCAGTAAACATCTTGTGCAGAAATCTGGACATTTGTAATAAATCCATCATTAAGATGTTTTTAACGTCAACCCATTGCTTTGAGTCTCTCTGTCCATATTTCTTTCTCCAGAAAAAATGTAATCTCGTATAAATCAGGAGAGAAATGTGCACAGATCAACCATCATTTACAATCGAAAACAGTCGAAAACAGCTCTGAACAAATATTAAGTTTGATTTTGATATGAGAGGACTACGGGGGATGACTTTTTTTCAGTGGAGGAGCATTATTATTATGGATTATTGACTAGTATTATTGACTGAAGAGAAGTTTGAAACACTTTAATGATTGAATTTGCTTATTAAAAACAGCTTTTTGTTTTACAATGGTGTTAGTTGATGGACTGGAATTGGCTGGATTGCTTGTGGATTATTGAGATGTTTTTATCAGCTGTTTGGACTCTCATTCTGGCGGCAACCATTCACTGCTGAGGATTGTAATGCTAAATTTCTCCAAATCTGATCTGATGAAGAACAAAACTCATCCACATCTGGGATGGCCTGAGGGTAAGTTTTGAGCACTTTTTTCTTTTGGGTGAACAATTCCTTTAAATTTCATTTTGAGATTCAAATTTTCATCAAGCATCCCTTGAATGCATCCTGCGTGTCTATTTTGGCTTCTATGGTTTTTTGTTTTTGTGCTACTTAAAAAAAAAAATGTTTTCATGCTCACCCCACCCAATCAGAGACAGCTTGACCATGTAATGTCTGATGTAAATGTTGAAGACTCTGATGAGAAGAAGGTAGAGGTGCAAGGCTTCAACAGCCATCCAGGTGAAAGAACACAGCAGGCTGTAGTGTATCGTCCCAGCAATAAACACGCACACTTCTTTCACAGTCAGTGTAGCGGCCCACTCGCTGAGCATGAAGCTCATGTTGAGGAGAAACAGAGCGCCGCTCAGAGACACGTGAATGCTGCTGGACACTTCTGCCCTTGCATTACTGCAAAATCACACATTATGTGAATCGAAGCACATATTCTGTACGCATTCTTATGAAAACAGAAGAAATGGCACCTGTTGAAAATGAATGACAAGACAGTGGTGGCAGAAAAGAACGTAGAGAGACCGCAGCCTACATAGCTGATGTACGACAAGATTTCCCATTGCTTTTCGGATATTGTTGAGTCATTCAAGCTGATCTATTCAGAGTTAATAAGGTGGACAAATGAGAGGGGAAGTGAACTTTAAATGGTATTAGCTGATTATTTTAAAGTGTTAGTTGAACTGAATGAATTTCATGGGTGGATATCTCAGAACTCACCAGAAGCACAGCAAAAGGGGTCATATGGTTACAGTAACACTCCACAACATTATCACTGATCGCAGTGGTGTTACAGCCATCCGCTTTCCAGGTTCCGTCTCCTATGTAACAGTAAACAAAGTTCATATGCGCCTCATACAGTATGTGCCTCATATAAGAAACCATTAACCAATAATGTACCGTTTTCATCATAGAATTGACAGGACAGGTTGTAGTTCTTTAGATATAACTACAAAACAGAAATAAATAAATAGCAGGACATTTTTGGGCAATTTGCGAATATTTAAAAAAAAATTGTATTCCAAGTTACACTTACAGATGTGTCGTTTGTGTAATTAAGTTTGAAGCTCATATTAAGTGGATTGATCAAATTTACAATGTCACGTTCAGGGACTTCAATCCGTATGACTTTGGAGGCAAACAATTTATTTCTCGCTTGAAACTGTAAAAAAAAAAAAAAGACAATAGGCTGATTTGTATATTTAAACTAACTGTAAATTTAAGAAAAATGTGTGACAATAACAAGTTTTCTAATCGCTATGACACTCAACAGAACAATACAGACATCATAAATGGGTGGGATTTGAACCTTTAAGTGCTGATCAGAATCGTAGGTAACTATGCCAATTTTGCTCTCATTCTCATTTTTGAAAGGCTCAACTGGGATCTGTGTATCAGCTACTTCATCATAATTTAATACCTTAAAAGCAAAAACAAACACACAAAAAAGTAGTCAGCATCTTTTACTTTCTTATATACATTGTTCTATACATTGTTATATATGATGTTAAAAATTAAGCTGCAACCAGATGTTATCAAAAACCTGCTGTAAGCCATTTCTTTTTAGCAATATCACACATAAAATGCAGTGGTGTGATGCAGTCAGGCCCTTTAATCCCTTTAAAATTGGGAAGGAAAAACGGATGCAAGAGTTGCGAAATGCCATTTCACTTTTTCAGTAAAAACAAATGCATTCAGGAAATAAATTAAATATACAGCAGCAATAAAATTATGCATTGCATCAAATGTCATTTCTGTCTGACGGAGATCGTAGGAGGCATTTGTCTTGATAGCCAGTTACTGCCTGCTAATGACGTAGTTCATTCTAAAGCCTGCTTTTAGTTTTAACCTTGGGTAAAGGAACTTTCACACTTGTGATTTAGTTAGTGGGGTTAGCACCATATTTTACCCAGGGTTATGCACTGACAACCCCACACTGAGGTGCCAAAATTGTACAGTGTGTAACAAAGCGGTGTTCGAGTGTTAATACTAGATGCTTTGCAACAGACAGCCAATGCATTGGACAGTCACGAAAACACTGTATATTGTATAAACAGTCGTTGCAGAAAATGTCAAAAGGTGACAGAAAATGCATCAGACGGAGAGAAGAAGACTGTTTAATTTATACCTTTATGCAATATGTGATAATATGAGGATGCAGTCAGGTCACATGCTGTGTTCATCCAAACACGTTAACCCAGGGTTTAGGAATGTACATGTCATGAAACGTCGATTTATGAATACCTAAGATTAATTGTTAACCCCGGGTAAATTACGATCAGTGTGAAACATGAATCAAGATAACCTAGGACTGTTGGTGCCGATAGCTTCGTGGTTAGTGTGCCAACGTATTGCGCAACTGTGCTTGCGGCGACCCAAGTTTGAATCCTGTCTCGAGGTCCTTTACTAATCCCGCTCCCCTCTCTCTGCCCGATACTTTCCTGTCATTTCTCTACTGTCCTATCCAATTAAAAGAAGCATAACCCCCCCCAAAATATAACTTAAAAAAGATAACTGTTTTTTCAGGGTTTAGAATGACCCAGGGTTAACTAATTCTAGTGTGCAATGCACAATATGGCAGGTCTTGTAAATTAAGTCATGCCTTCTAAATAAAAGAGACAAATGACAAAGTCTCTACGTGAAATTTGAGTCACATCGGTTGCTGTTACAAGCCCAGCTTCCCATAGAAATGATAGTCACGATGTGTCTCAATCAGCTCCCTATATGCCAGGAATCAGTACAGGTGTGTTTGAATTGCTGTTTATGCCCTGCTGTGCAGACATTGGTATCTCACTTGAAGCAGTGCATGTCAGTTAGGAATTTTCACGAATGGCGCTCTCAAGTCTGAGAGGTTTTCTGTTTGGTCACATGCCCACTATGGCGTATGCCATCAAAGTGCCACAGTAGCAAATCAAGAGAAGAGAACTTGGCCATGGTCAATTAGATCTCCATTAGCAGTTAGTGGATAAGGTCTATACAGAAACAAAATGGTCATTCCCAGTTAATGGGCAGGACAGGAGTTTTCCAAACACTTTGACCGCTCACTCCTAACCTCACCCAATGTTCGTGCAAATTTTGCTGTAATAAACATTCTAATTTGAATGAATGACTGTTCATGAATCTGTTCAGAGTCAGACTAACAGAAACATTTGCACGCCATCAGTGTGACATTTTTTTATGGGGAGGTTTTCCATTTTGTCACATGCCCAGAGCTGCTGTTATGAAACTATGACTTGGAGGTGCTTATGGACAGAGTACTTTGATAAATGTACATACTAGCATATTGAAAAAAATTGAAAATACATATTAGCATATGGGGTCTTAATGGAGACCCAATTGACCTTCTTTGAAATTGCTATTACTGACAACAACAAGGAGGTCCACTTAATGTTTATTTTGAAGTCAAACACACCTTATACCTTGCTTGCTTGGTTGATGGAGGATTTGTAAGTGTTAGCATTAAGCCATACCAAACTATATGGGTCTACCACTGGAGAATGTAATGGTTGCCGCTTTTTAACGCTATCTGATTGTAAGAAACAAAATGTATGAGACAGCTCATGTCATTTTATTGATAATTTGAAATATGTTTTTTAAATGTGAGTTTGGCAAAAAGAGACTTCAGTATTTTGACTTTTAAATAGATAAGACTTGGACTTGCATAACCAAAAAAGCTGATCGAAGGCATGGCTGTTGAATGAACTGACTTTCCTTGTTCCCTGTGTCTTCTCTGGACTTACATGTTGAAGTGTTTCCTGTGCTTTCTTTGTAGTCAGTTTGTAGTTTTTTCCCCCTTGATTAATCTCCCCAGGTGTGTCTTTTTATCTTGTTACCTTTTCAGCTTATTAGCCCTGTGTATATAGCCTCTCGAGCCTTTGGGACTTGGAAAATATTTCCGAGTCCAGGGACAGTTGACAGAAATGTCACTGACTTGATCACGAAAATGATATTCAGTATTTGCATGTGTTTTTAAGTCTTGTCCAGTACTTGAAGGCCGACGGGCACTGTGTGTGCACACAGAACCTGAACAGTTGGGAGAAATACGGATGTGTCAAAATATTTGATCTGTTTCAGGTCTTATTAAAGCAACATAAACCTGCTGCCGCTGACTGCATCATAAATGTTAACCAAACAACAAAAGAAAGAGAGAAAATCACTCACTACTCTGGACTGAATCACTTAAGTAACTTTAATAAGAATCATCTATATTTAATGTATACAATGAAGACTGTGCATTGTTTTATTTTTACATTTATTACTTCATTAAATGTTGGTAGTAGGTTATTTATGTAGTAGACTTTACTGTGTAGACCTGTGTGAAAAACTTAAAAAATTATTTCATTAGTATTTTTGATTAAAGGTGCAGTAAGTGATTTTTGAAAAACGCTTTTGGAAGAGAGTGCTCAATTTGAGTGCACAGCACGGACATTAGTAGATCGACTATAGATAGAGAGAGATGGCAGATAAAAAAAAGAGGAAAATATCAGAGAAACAAAACATTAAAAAGAAGGGTTACGATCAGGCACTGTTCCAGCGGTTTAGAGAACTCAAGGAGCGGGAAGGGCTTGAATCGGACGCCGAGGTTGCGTTGTTTCTTCTTGATAGGTGAGTAAGGTTGATTTGCTTTGTTTCACACAACTTATCCGTGTTGGCTTTTGTTTGAATATGCTTGTGTGTCATCTAAGGTTGATTTGCTTTGTTTCACACAACTTATCCGTGTTGGCTTTTGTTTGAATATGCTTGTGTGTCATCTTCATTGTTTCTGCGATCGTCGTTGCCAGGGATGTGCATGTACGTGTGTGGCGGAGATTTCAAAATAAGGGCGTGTTTGTTTTGGTGCTTTCAAACAGTGGCATAGCGTCTGGGCATGCAGGGTATGCAGGTGCATATGGGCCCAAGCAGTTTGGGGGCCCGCCGAGCTGGGGGGAACTTTTAATTGAAACAAGGGAACGAATAGAGCCCTGCATGGGCCCGGCCCTTGTCTAACAGCTTGTGAGAATTCTCGGCCCGAGTCCGGCTGGATACCGTGACTTTTTTCTCTCTCTCTTCCCCATTACACAGCTATTAAAATAGTTCAGTTTTGGTTTTTAATGGCAAAGTGGTCATATTTATTCTTGTTTCTTTTAAAGTTAATTTAGAAATATGTTTGGAACATTTCATGTTTGTTAAATTCAAGTTTCTGTTTTTTAAAGCAACGACCAAGCGGCAGCGGCAGACAGTGAGTTGAGCATTATGTTTGATCAATTTAGCCTTCTCAAACCAACACGACTTGCCTAAAATAAACAGACATAAAACACTTCATGCATTTCACAGTATTAATTTAAACATTTAACCTAGATAAATGAGGCGCCAGCGCGATCACTTGCATTATTATAATTTTTTTTTTATATAACAGTGGAAACTTAAAAATGCACCGTAATTTCTGCTCATAAAAGTAAGAGTATACATCATTCGGAACTGCAAATGGTCTACTTGTATTTGGGTGCACTCACAATATCAACAAAACCTTGTGCTTTTGTAAAATAAGGAATACAAATGCTTTCTGATGCGCTTTTCCTCGTCTCTGTCTTGAGCAGGAGCGCCTCACAATGATGAACTGAAACTCAGCGAATACTTGCCTTACCGACATGATAAATATATCTATACAATGCTTTACATTACTATTTTAAAACGAAATAATTCAAATCGAAAACAAAAACTCTTTCATTATGTAATCCGTGCATTTCTCTCTAAAGGCATGTCCAAAGAAGAGATGGCGAGTCAGGTTCATTAATTTTCACAACATTGACTCAGAAAACATTAGTTTATTAAAAAATAATTCAAATATCCCCTCACTATTTTTTACTTTTTTGTTTGTTTTTTATTTTATTTTTTTGTTTTTTGGGCCTCTGTGCCAAAATTGTGTTTGCATTCAGTAGCCTATACCGCAGCATTTTTGTGCCACGTTTAAAAATAACTAAATAAATAAGATTAACGTCATAATATTTTAAGAATAAAGTCAAAATTACGATAATAAAAACATGTTATTTTGCTTGAAGTTAATGTGAAAATTCCACCTATAGGCCTACTCCTCCAAAAAAAAAAAAAAAAAGAAAGTCTGTGGCATCCGTCATACAAATTTTTTGCATATGGGCCCGGGGCTGACTCGCTACGCCACTGCTTTCAAATATCAACATCATTTGGCACAATTCGCTTAGTGAACCTTTAATATATTTATTTAACCTTTTGCTTTTAATGAATAATTAGACTATTTACTTCCTTTCAGCTTGAGAAAGTTTTACTTACATTAGTTTAGCATTATTTTTGGCTGTTGTTTCGAAAATATTATTATTTTTTAAAATATAGTGGCAGCTTCTAACTTCAAAGAAAAATATTTTTATAACATCTTTGCTTAAATAGTTTTTATGGGTCCAAAACCGCCTTGGGTGTGCGTTATTTTCTAATAATTCAACGGCCCTTCATCAATTATTCCTTGCATAATGTCATTTATTAACTAATTATTATTAAAACAGTTGTGAGTTGGCTGTGAGTTATGGAAAGCATATGGTTTTTATACACAGTGTGTGCCATTGTAAAGACTAGGCTTATCCCTCACAGCCTAATTTTCATCCAAGAAAAAATTCTAAATGCCGTCTACCCTGTCTAAGGTCTAACTATTTGTCATAAAAAACCCCCAAACATCCAGCACAGCCACAATCAGAGATAAGAGGTACATTTTCTGCTCTTCATGTCTCATTCACCAAGCTGTGTTCATCCTAGTTTGTCTTATTTGCCTGTTTTGTTTAATAAATCATCCTGCAACTAGATCCACGTTTCCTCCTGTTGTCACTTCTGCTTCCCGGCATCACAGCAGCCATATTAGCAATGCCTTTGAGCAGCCATTTTGGCCATGCAAGACCAAGTTGCTAAGTACTCTCGTATTTTTGTGAGATTTTTAAATGCTTTTTCTTTAAACCAAAGTTTGTAATGATATGATTCACCACAGAGCTGCTTAGTTTGGTCAATGCTTTAGAAGACTTCAATTTGAAAATGTTTAAGTCCCTATGGACAAAAATGAAAAGGAGAAATATTTCCAAGGGAAGAAATCATTTACAGCAGTTTAGTAGCTAACAGAATTATGTCAGCTTGGACTTTTGGCATAAACAGTATGGGGCAAGAGTCTTACCCCTGGAGCGGCGATTTGTACAAAATCATTTGTCGTGCTTAAATTCATCTTAACCACAATGATGGAAAGATCCTCTTGATAGTAGGTCTTGGATTGCTCAGAATTATTAATATTTATAATGCCATGGATGGCTTTCTTTTCCACACTGCAAAAAGGTTAGATAAAAACAAGAAGCAAAAAAGTCTAAGCAGTGTTTCCAACCCTGCTCTTGTAGACCGCCACAAAACCGCACATTCCCTGATCAAACACACCTGATTTATCGTTAGGTGCTTCCAGTAACAGGGTTTGGAACCTCTGAATGTCCACTGAAAGAATTGTGCATTTTAAAATCTTTAACAAGTTTATATTTACCTAATGTAGGTATCCAGAACAGCTTCATGAAAGATCACATCTTTGCACATTGTTTTAATATTGAGAATGTTTCTCATGTCTTTTGGCATATACATTTTTTCCGCTTTCTTTTTCAGGAGCTTACTTATGTCACCAGGCAAGCAATCTACCACAGTACATTTGGATAATGTGTCACCTACAGTCATAGATGACAGGAAAAGTTAACGTCCTGCGAACCACCAAGGTATCATACTCAATGCACATTCCTTATAAAGCAGTAACTGGTTAAATTCAATGGAAGAAAATAAGTCTTGCTTACGTATGCTGAAGTCAACTCTTGTGTTATCCTCATGATTTATTTCCAGGTCAAATGTTTTTGGTTCTGTGAAATTTTTGATTTGACAGAAATCGTAATAGGAGCACTCAATATAACATGAATTTGTTGTTGAATTACAACGCAACTCTTCTGCAGTTTCCAAAACGGCAATGTTGCGTCCAGATGTAAATGAGATTCTCATCTCCATTGCCTTATTTGTTAGTGTTAGATGTACTTGACATGACAAAGGGAAAATACATAATTAGAGAATGAAATGTAAGTGTTTTAAAGAGCTTATCATTTATAAGTTCTATTGTAGGGGAGACCGGGGCTAGTTGTCACACAGAGAATTTGTCATTATGGGTTATCTGTCTGTAAAGCCTTAAAAATACAGTCTATGTCACAACACTTCAGCCTGTGATTCTTATTAATTGAGGGTCATGTTTCAGGATCTCTGACACTTCGTACTTCTAGAGACTCTGGAAGTTCTGGAAAAGCTGGCACTGGAGACTAAAGGGTTCCTGATGGTTTAATTCTTGGTTTAACACACCTAATTTTTCACCTACGTAAATGTTTAACGTCTTTTGCATTTAATATATTTTCTTTTCAATTTGTTTTTGTGACTATTGTCCCAATGAGCATGTCTTATCCAATAGCCAGACCTTAATCTTACGATTTCCGTAGTATTGCTTCCTTCTCATGGGCATTTAATAATTTTGGACTTTTTTTCATTGTGTCAACTCTCTTGATGTTTTTGGCCCATTTTACTTGTAAAAGAAAACCTGCTTAATAATTATGCACATCTGAACATAAGGCGTTTTTCACTTGACTGCAAAAAAACAACAAAAAAAACAGTATTTACTAAGGTTAATGTGGTTCGTAATCAGATACAAATGGAAATAGATGAAAAACTCTGGCATGCATTTAGACAAGTATCACTCATGTCAGGATGGGATGGGGATGGGTCACAGGTTGTTACAATTTTACAGGTTGTAATTTTTGTAACATTTATAAAAATGAATCTTTTAGTTACATTTTTATAATACTGTATAATACTGGAAATCCTATAATAGTTCAAAAAAGATTTGAGTTTCAAAAATAAAGCTACCTAAAAGAACTATTCAGTGAAGTCAGAAGCCTGAGGACCAGCCTTGGTCTCCCCTGTATCTATTTATCTATTTATGTGTCTGAATGAGAAGGTCTATGGAAATTGTATGCAAATATTTTCCTTATTAGAACAAAAGCAGAGTATCGAAGTACAAATTCTGAACACAAGGAAATCAAGTATTTAAATAAAGAAAGTGTTACTTATTTCAGGAAGAGGGATTTAACCATTTACTACCTCTTTGAGCTTTAATAATTGTTTGTAGTTAAACTAGCAATGTGAACCATTTTAATATAATTAAATTTATTTTTTATAAGAAGGTAAGTGCTTTCAATAGTTACTCTTGTTGCATTCTCCAGCATCCAGGCCATAAATCAGGATCAGAAGTAGAAGAAGTGACATATCTTTAGCTCTCAGGGACATCTTAGGATTTATGGAGGTAAGAATACAAGGAAATGACATAATTTGATCAAATAGCTTTGCTCATGTAGAAAAATACCCCAAAATTAACCATTTACATCTATTTTAATACAATACAAGACATTATATTGTACTTTAACTGTCACCCCCATGTTTTGAACATAGACGTGAAAGTGCACTATCCAAACTTAAATAGTTGTAATTCATGAATGAAAACATTTTGAAAAATGATTTGGAAGTTTCGGTTACACTTTACTTGAAGGGGTGTGCATAAGACTGACATGACACCTTCATAATCATGACATGACACATGTCATGAATATGAAGGTTTTTTATGCATGTTTATGACAACTGACATTAAGTGTCATTCGCTCAGTTATGTAATTTTTAATGCAAAGATGACATTGTTTGAGATGTCTTTGTTATGGGCTATGGTTAGGGGTAAGGGTAGGGGTAGGGTTAGGTCAAATAATGTCATATTTGCATTAAAAATGACATAACTGAGCGAATGACACTTAATGACAGTTGTCATAAACATGCATAAAACCTCCTCATATTCATGACATGTGTCATGTCATGATTATGAAGGTGTCATGTCAGTCTTATGCACACCCCTTCAAGTAAAGTGTTACTGAAGTTTCCAGTGTCCGATTTTAAAATGGTTTGAGGGGGATGAATTTGGAGGTTTTAAGCTTTAAATTGATATATAATTTATGATGATTTCTAAAGCGTGACAGGGAAAAAGGCAACAACAACAACAACAAAAATACTTTTTGTGACAGGTCAGAACTTGTTGAGGTGCACTCTTGTCATGAATTAATCTATTTATACAGTCCCTACATAATTTGTAACAAAAAAGAGGTAAAATATCTATTCAGGAGTCTTGGACCTTTCCAACGATATACAGTCTGTCATGATTAGATTAGGATTTATTTGTAATGTAGTGAAGTAAACTTTACTTTTAACAGTTTAGACTAGAGGTTAAATAACTTATCTCTTTAAATAACTTAATTATAAGAACACTCCAAAATGATCCTAAAATAACCTACTTACCTTTGTTTTCCTAGCAGGTCGAAGTGGTGACAGCTCTGTATGGGAAGTTCAGAACTCACACTGAGAGTTGATCATCAGCCATACTCAAATGTTGTGGCTTCAGGTATATCCAATGAGCTCTACTGACAGCAGAGCACAACGACAAGCCTTGTCAGCACTTTGTATTTATGACTATTATGACATTAATAACAATAATAATAATATGTTTAATTTATATAGCGCCTTTCCCAAGCTCAAGGACGCTCTACAAGGTACACCAAAGCAGCAAATATTGATTACAAAGAAACAATTTCATTGGACATTTGCCCAATTCAGTTACAAATAATGCAGTTGCATATAACACAGATTATGTAGTAAAGACAGAAACAGAAAACAAAACAGACAAATACACAATGTAAATTAGTGATAGTGTTGATTAAACAAATAAGTTTTAAGCTTTGATTTGAATTCACTGAAAGAGGTGACTGTTCTGAGTGCCAGGGGAATTCCAAAGTTTGGGTGCAGTAACAGAGAAGGTTAACATTACATAACAGACTGTGGTTCACCGCCTCTGTTAAAGGAATAGTTCACCCAAAGATTTTACACAAGATGTAGATGAGTTTGTTTCTTCATCAGAACAGATTAGGAGCAATTCAGCATTACATCACTTGCTCAGCAGTGGATCCTCTGCAGTGAATGTGTGCCGTCAGAATAAGAATCCAAACAGCTGATAAAAACATCATAATAATTAACAAGTAGGGGAGAGCAGGGCACAAAGTAACACTTTTTGACTTTCTCAAATTGTGTAAATCCAAATGGGGTTCAGAGTATAATTTTTTTATCCACAGTAATTTCACACCTGTCTAGTACAAATATGTCGCTTTGTTTCATAATTACAGTGTATACGTTTTTCTTTATTTACCCTCAAAAATTGGAAGTGAAATGTGACAACATGCCCCGTAGGTGGGGTACATTGTAACATCTGAGGGGCACGTTGTAACTTGACCATATGACATCTTAAAATGTTATCTGGGGCCGGTTGCATAAACCGCTTAGACTAGACTTAAAAAGTTAGTCATCTAATTTTTTTCTAATTTTTTCATAATTTCTTAAAGTCAGTTATAAAAAGGGAGAATGGTCTCATCTGAATCCAAAAGGTAAGTTTGATTACCTGGCTAACAACTAGTTGGTCAAACTAGTTCTTAAGACACAGTCTTAACACAGAGGCTATGTTTATGCAACTGGCTCCTGATCGCATGAAAAAAATATACAAGACAAACTAAAATATTTTGTCAATGAAATAAAATAATGATTTATTTCAAATAAAATAATGGCGTTTTTTAAGAATTAAAAATAATCTGATTTTGGAGTTTGACAATGCACACATTGCAACAATGCTTGGGACGGCCCACTTAAACGAGCCAAAATGCTTTACATGTCTTGAAATAATCATTTCTTAACACTAAACATTGACTGTCAGTCTTTATTCACCTGTTTCTCGTCGTTTATCATTAAAATTTATTAAAGTACATAGTGTGAATTACATCGCTAATGTCATAGAATAGCACATTGTAACGCAGTGTTACAACGTGCCCCATCTGCGCAACTGGAATTTAAAACCGGTTACTGTCTTCTGCTAGTTAGCGAAGCATTAAAAAATCATCTAAACTGATAAATAACAGATTGGAGATTAAAATAATAGCAGATTTGTCTAATTTTAAATGAGTAATAATTTAATTTAAGCCAGAAATATAATTTTACTATGGCAAAATACATTTTCAGCGATATCTTCAAAAGACTTTTGAATTTTGGCGCACTTTTTTTCTCTATATGTTGATATGGTAACTAGTAAATGCTGTAAATTGTTATGCTAGCATGTGTGGAAATATTTAAACCATGTGTGTTACAATTTACCCCGCCTTACTTTCTAATCCACACGACTCCAGTCGATCAATTTTCTTATGAAGTGCAAAGCTGCATTTGTAAGAAACAAATCAGTCATTAAGGCATTTTATATTAAAGCATCGCTTCTGGCCATACTACCAGTCTATAATCCATAATAACGCTTCCTCAGGTGAAAACGTCCATCCCTTGTTGTCCTC